GGAGGGGGGAGGGTGACTTAATCGTTTTCGAGGGTAATAGACCCACAACTCTACACGCACTGCGCTCAAACAAAGAAGGAGGGACGCCTGGAAACGAGGCAAGTAGTCAGCATGAGTTGAATTAACTCTAGTAACAAACTCTAACCTTGTTTTTCTTGACGAGTCCTTCGACCTGGTAGGACACGCTCTCGGCAAAGTGATGTATGCTGAATACATGATTTTCACTCTTAAACCGCGGACAAGTAAAGTGGCTGTTCTGAAGTAGGGAGGTCTCCAGTCGAGTGCTGAAAGACTTCGTGTCCAGTTCTCTCTTCAAACGGCACTCCTGGCACCGAACGAAAGAGATATCCATTTGAAACCCTAGGATTAATTGTCAAGACAAGTACGATTGCATTCAAATAAGGATGTTAGACAATTTAGAGCGTAAAAAATGTTTTATCACCTCATTCATTAGTGAAAAGACACTTGTCCTTCCCTCGATGAGATCCAAACACGGGCGACTGTCGACAAAATCTTGGAAGGACCAGTCAATACCCTCCGTTTGATACTCCTCCTGAAAAGCAAATTACGAGTCATCAGTTTTGAGTTTGCACGAATTGCACGCCTGGAAACTATTGTAACTCTGCGGCAGCCTCGTTTCCAGGCTCTTTCTCCGAGGCAAAAGAAAGAGAACCTGGAAACGAGGATGACTGTGCAGTGCACATTGCCTGTCGTTTTGCTCGGAGGATTTTAGATTAATTAAGAGAACAAATATTAAATGAACCATTTTTACCTGTTGTCTCTTCATAAAATAATACACGAAGTGTTGCTGCAGCTTTTCGTTTGCGTAGTTTATACTCAACTGCTCCAAGCTGTTGAGGTGGAAGTTTTCAAAGCCGTAAATGTCCAGAAGACCTGAAATGGAAGTAAACGATGAAAACTGGGCAACCCTGTATCTTGACAAGTTAGAGCGGAAACCTCATGGTTAGTGCGCTCGTCTCCGGATCGAGCGGTCCGGGTTCGAGCCCTGGCCCGGGACATTGTGTTGCGTTCTTGGGCAAAACACTTTATTATCACAGTGCCTCTCTCCACCATATATCTTGACGGGCTGACTGTATCTAAGATCGCACTACGTAGCTAGAGGTTAAAAGTGTTGACATTTGTGGAGGGAAAAGGTCGACTTCCGTATGACATCTTGTAGGCTAATAAGGTAACAGCGAGAAATTCCTCCCCCGATTACAGAGGTTCAACTGTATCTTATCATGCTTTATAACGTCTTACCTATAAAAGAATACTTTGAATCTGACGGTGCTCTGAGGGATGCATTTATGAAGTCAACAATCCAGTCGAATAATCTACGAAAACGAACGAATAATCACACGAGAGAAACAGCGAGGATATTACCATTAAAGGAAAGGTGTTATGGGGCAAAGGCATGTTCACGTAGGAAAAGGAACTCGGAAAAGCACCCCTTGTTCACAAAGCACAATGCACGAGAAGGTAGCGCAATACGTAACGGGATCAACTTATCTATGCGTGCACTTTTTCACGTTAATTTTATAAGAAGTGTAGCCAGCTTGTGTTCGTGTATGAACCATTGACTCTAAGTTCTTTCAATCTCCTGTACACTTTTGTTTTTGTACCTGGAGTAGATCAGTTTGGCCATACAATCTCTTCTTTCCACGCATTCTGATTTTGAACATGGCTTCATGAACTGCTCGCCAGTGGAACCCGTTGTGATTCGTCGTAATGATAAGCACTGCTCTAGCGACTCCGCTTCAGTTCCCAGTAATTCACAGGCTTCTAAGGATGAAAAAGTCAAAAAAGCATATTTTAATAGTAAGTGTGTAGGTGTAGGAGTCCATCAGAGATATCCTCACTTATTAGCTTTCTGTTTAACTAAACAAGTGGCTTTCTGTTGACTGTCAAACAAGAACAAAGAGTCAAAGAGAGTGGAAGAATCTGTCCAGTACAATACTTTTCTTCACCTCTTGTCAACCCAGCCATAATCAGGGCGCGGGCAAACTTGCTAAGAGACGGGAGAGTTGATATCTTTGACGACCTGTCTCAAACTAGCATCAACTCTGCTCGATCAGTGTCATGAAAAATCAAGAAGGTTAAACTTCGTTGAAGCGCACGAGAATCGATGGGAGCAGATGAGTGTTCAGGGTAAAATGCAAGCGAGAGTCGGAACTGTCTCCTCATGCCCCATTTAGTTCGTATTTTCCTCACCAGAAACCAAGTTTCCAGCTAACACTTACCTTGAACATCTTGAAGAGTGCAAGTTTCGTTCGTTGACGGATTCGGGTCCGAGAACTGAGCGTCACAAAGCTTGAGAATTCCATTGAGAACCTAGAACGAGGAAAGACAGCTTTAGAATCAAGAATAGCCAGTCTGACAGAATCAAGAAGTAAAGCGGGAGAACAACGAATCAGAAAGGAGAGACGTTTACCGAAAATTAGGTTGCTTCACCTTAAATATTTCACATTGAAGTTGATCATCAATTCCAACGTTTCCCAGAGCTTGCCTGGTTACTTCGAGCGCTGCAATACAAGATTACAACACAGGTTACATTTACTAGCGATAGCCTAGAGCAAATGATATTTTCTTTTCCAGTCTCGTTGGATAAAACCTTCATTGGGCTATCAGGCAAGTAAGATTTCGTGACTTTGTTTGGTTTTACTTTATTCACTTGATAGTTGTGAACCTGGCCTCTTTCACAAAGGACACAATAAATAAAGACAATAAAACAAAGTCTCTCTTTTTTGCACTTATCTCACTCACTCATGAGGGGAATTGAGTGAGGTGCACGACTCTCAGGTGGCTGTTTTCTGAGGCTAAACCTTTTTTCGGATACGATTCAAAGAAAACGGCATGCTTTTTTTGCGCAAAAATAATTATTTCAAGTTGGACCTCGTCTATGTCACTGGTAATTTTAAAATCCGTTAAGAAATCGAGCAATTTCAGTTTTTAGTGGTCAAAAACCTTGTACCAGAATAATCGGGTATATTATAATCCTATTTGCATTTTCTAAAAGCTAAAGATACAAACAATTGCCTGAAATAACACCAAAAACAATTTCCCATAGAAACTTGAGAAAATAATTTTCAAAGTTCACAGAAATTGTGCAAACATAGGTAAATTGTCACCATTAGTTTCACTTCACCGGTACTTTCAAGTGTATCATATGAACATATCATATGTGTATCATATGAAAATTTGGTTTCGACGTTCTTTGTTGCTAGAAATGATTTCTTTTGAGAAGATATATTAAAACAGTCGCGCAGAAGTTTGCAATATGATGTAAATAATCTTGGTACAACGTTTTCGTCCACTTGTTACTAGAACTTGTGGTGGATTCCTTCTTTAAAATGCGCCTGTACTTGATATTATAACAATGTTCATACGAATTTGTTTGTGTTAGGCCCCGTCCATACTTCGGCGGAGGAATTTGAAAACACAGTTTTATTTCTACGGTTAGGCCTACCGTCCACACTAATCCGTCACGAAAACGAAACTTTTCGAAAACGCTCTTCAAACTGGAGGAATTTGAAAACGCCGGCTTTTCGTTTTCGTGTGGACAGAAAACATTTTGAAAACGGAGCTTTTCGAAAACGATGACGTCACGATAATCATGTGATCTCCCTGACCGAGTTGTCCTCACGCACAAATCCGAAACGGCCGGTGATTGTTGCGTTTTCAAATTCTTCCGGCATAGTGTGGACGTGCCCTTACAAGAGCGCGAAAGCGTTTGCGTCAAAATTACCGTAATCTTTGTTGCGTTTTGATCCTACCTGCAGAAAATGACTCTTCCTGTCTCAAAGTACTACTAACTTGGCAGCTTTCTGCTTAAGTTATCTATTAAAAACAATTGGGAAAAGATTGGAACTACTATTTTGTGTCAGCAAGAAAGGAAAGAGGGTCGATCGAACGCATTCTTATTATACTAGACTACTATAGCAAGCCGGTTCCGATGCTTAAATGCTTCCCAGTCGATTTGATTATGAAAATTAGCAAGTTCTGTGTTACAAAGTGCCTTCCCATCATTTTTTTTAGTTAAATCATTTCATTCTATGACATCTATATTATTTATCAAGTGTTAACACCACCCAAAAACGGAATAAATCCAAAATAAGAATATACTCCGGATTAGACGGTAGTCTTGAGTAAATCCGAGCGCTTTGAATGGTTCTTTCTTGGTCGCGATTTTACCATATGCCTGTACGTATGCTTTATTTCAAAATACAAACATTATTAATTTACAACATGATGTGACAGTCAAGTACACTTACAAACTACTTGCAAGACAATGTTCCAATATTATTATTTGTAACACCTACGAAAGGAAATACAGTTATCGTGTATAAAACAACCATATAATAATAATAATGATAATGATAATGATAAGGATAAGGATGAGGATGAGGATGAGGCTGAAGCTGAGGCTGAGGCTGAGGCTGAGGCTGAAGCTGAAGCTGAGGCTGAGGATAAGGATAATGATAATAAGTAATAGTAATTGGACCGAGGGGAGTACAACTCAGGGAGTAATCGCGCGAGTAATTTCACGTGTCGAGCGGGTGTCGAGATTGTTTAGCCGAGGGATAACCCCGGCTCTACTAATAGAGGGAAGGAGGGAATGGGGTTGGGTGGAAGTGGGAAAGCGGGAGGGAGTGGAGATGGAGGGGGAAGAAGAACAACGAGAATTGGTCTTTTCATTATAAAATATGAGGGGGAGGGGAGCGGGGGGGGGGGGCGAGGGCGCAAAAAACTTTTCGTCCCTTCGAGTCACATTCTTTTCACAAAAGGGCTAAGGCCAAGTTCCGCCGCACTCTTGCGTACTATTCAAGGATTTGCAAGATTTGTACTCCTTCTGCATACGATGGAGCATGAGCATAAAATAAACAGGGGAAAATGAAATCGGGGACAAGATTGCGTAATTCCGTCACGCGTCGTGATTTCCAGACGAAAACGTGACTGTTTTGCAGTCTATTGCTGACGCACGTTCCGCTTCCATGCCAGAGGAGAGGCAAAATGCAACACGGAAATGGCCCACATTCTCAACGAGCACGCCATAGCAAGCCGGAAAAGTTTGGGGAAAATGTTACAGAATATATTCACACTCAGTTCAGTCTTTATAAGCTTGTGTAATATAATTTATTTATTGGAAACTATGTTGTCGAGGTAAAACTGCTAATGTCACACTGTTCATTTAAAAAAATTCAACGATATAATGCTTGCTTAGGAAACTTAACATAATTATAAAATTACTTATCAAATATAAAGTGACTGAAACTGAGGATCTGGAGGGGCCAGTAAATCAAATACCTGAGAATTGATCAAAATGTCAGACATCTTAAATCTCAGCTAGAGGAAATAACATGTTTCTTAACAGATACCCGAGTTTCGAGGTCAGCAAACTTTACTGATGGCTGATTTTAAAATAGCCGGAAATTTGAAGTGATTGCTAAGAAATCACCAAAAATTTAACTGATAAACTGAGACTACATCATCTCCATCCAGACCCTTTGAGGTTCTTAACAAAGCAGTTTAAAAGATCACATATCAAAGAATCACAGACCTCTTAATATCTAAATACATTTTGATAAAAATTTAAAATCTCTAGAATAGTTGAGCCACAGAATCGATCTGTGCCGTGACTTGCTATAACATGCAGGTATACTTGGTAAAAACCGAAAACTATACAACCATGCAGAAAAGAGTCAATAGTTCAAATGTAAACTTGAGAGATAATATAAGACTACCTGTTGTGCTAGAGCGATTTCACCCATATCACACTACTCCCGACTGAGGAGTGGTCAGAAATTTCTAACTTAAAAATTACCTCGTATATTCTGATAGCTGACTGGGCATCATGTCGATCTACTCGAAGATCTGAATGCGATGGTTCCCCCAGTCAGATGCAACTATCCTACCATCACTAAGAACTGCTGTAGAGTCTGGGCCATTATTAAACTCTCCTATCCCACTGCCTTTTGTTCCAAACTTGGTCACAAACTTGCCACTCAGTTCGAACACCTGAACTCTGTGATTCCCTACATCACAGACCATCAGGTGTCCTGCTTTGTTAACTGACAAGCCACAAGGTTGATTGAACTCCCCGTCACCATAACCGCTCTTTCCAAATTTGTACAAAAAAGTTCCATCCTTATTAAATACTTTTATGCAAT